ACCTGTTGATCTTGGGTTCACCAACCCCTGTGGTTACGTGGATCAGGAGAAGCCTCTGTGCTGACCCACGGACTTGGGATGTTTCAGCCTCTACAACTGCATCAGCCGTTTCCTTTACATAAATGTGTGTGTGCATATATATATATATGCTTTACTGACTTTGCTTCTCTAGAGAACCCAGCCTAAGACAAGGTTCTAAACAGAATCCAAGCGAGTACCAAGACAAAAGTCATTACTGTAACACTGTAATTATGGAATACATCCCAGAACCTTCTCCAAAGATAATCAGAGGAACTCCAGCATCAGCTGAACATCCAAGGATCCACAAGATAATGACCAGAAGAAGCAAGTTATAACTAAAAAGATTTGGGAGCTCCATCTACTAGACCAGAACTTAACCAATCTATATCAACAACTTCAGCAATATTCCTCTCTTCTCCAAAAGGAAACAACATGGTGACTTCAGGAGTAACTAGAGTTCTCTCTCATTCTTTATGCACTTAAATTACCTTTAAGAAATCTTAGTCCCTTCCTTGTAGTTCTTACTGGAGATGGATATTATAAAAGGTCATTTGCCCAGGCTGATTTTCCAGAATTTTTCTGTCGCATAAGCCCATACACATATTCATTCCTAAACTTGAAGAAAGCTTAATACCTTAACACAGATAGACCAGAATACTGTGATATGAGCACAAAATTACTATCGCATAACAATAGAAAAGACAAGTAATTTTTTCCTACTCAAAAAAGTCCCACATTTAGACAGTAATAAGCGCTGTGTCATCCTCAATAAAATTACTTGACATATCAATTTCTAATACTCTCTTTCCATAGGCCTTAAGAATTTCCTACCTTATTAACTAAGTATATTAAAAGACACTCTTTGGTGAAACTAATAAATTCACAAGTATTCTGAAGGAGATTAACTATCACAAAACCGTGAAACAGAGCAGATACTCCCACCATTAAGAGTCATTTCAGAAAGCTTAGTGAAAACCCTCAACATAACAAAAATATTACATTAGTGAAATGTAGCACTACATTTGTGTGCAATTACCATTTAATACTCACTTGCCATTTCAACTGAAAACCTTTCTACTTAATAATTTCTAGGTCTATAATTTGGCTATACTGTAATATGAAGTTGAATATTATGTTATTTGAAAAGTTAAAAAGGAGCAAAATAACTGGTATTTGTGCTTTAAAAAAAAAAAAAGATCATATTCATGCTTAGATGCGAGTTTCCCTAACTGCACATGGATATTATTCTAAATTCCATTAGGTTCCCAAAGCAACTGGTCACTTGCAGCCATTATAATGTAAACCTGTTGAGAATTTTGTATAACACCATTTCTACAAACTGGCTAGACTTCATTACCATAATTTTGCATAATAACACCGATAAATCACTATTGTCATTTAAGGCTATTAGAAACAATCTCAACTTAAGAAATCAAAAACTATTATATACCATTCGATCCAGCAATTCCACTCCTAGGAATATATCCTAGAGAAATAAGAGTCGTCATGTGAATACACATATGCACACCTATGTTCATGGCAGCATTGTTCACAATAGCAAAACGATGGAAACAACCTAGATGCCCATCAACAGATGAATAGATAAAC